GATATTTTTATATTGTAGATATGAAAAACTTGAGATATATGATATAGCGAAAATATAGAACAACCTAACCTAAACTATCTTAAATAGTAAGATACTATATCTTGAACTTAACTCTAAAAGAAAACTAAAATAAAAAGAACGAGACTGGTATATTAAATGTTCAAAAAACAGATTTAAAAAATCACTACATCCGCCTTTTAAGTAAATGATAGTACTCTCATGAAAGTGATCTTAGATGCTAATCTCTACGATGATGTCGGTATACATTTATGTATTTCATTTCATTTAATACAAGCCTCATTAAACTCTCATCGGTAAGATCTCGGTCGGTACTATCGCGAGCAAAAAAAGATAGAACAAATATGACTTTACAGTTTGTCATTAAAGGCCTATTTTCATGTAATATTTTTTGTAAACCTAGTTTCCTGATTGAAATGGTACCTATTATCACAATAAAAACAAGCCTTAAAAAATAGGAAAAATTATTTCATGTGAAAATTGTACATTATGCAGGGTGATTCCTAAAATTAATACTTTGTTTTTGTGGGACGATTCTTTCATCCATTTTAAGAAAAAAATATGCTAACTATACTATATAACTAAAAATATAATTTTGTCCTGGGGGATTTTCTCAAACAATGTTTACTTAAATAAAGCATTAGTTTAGTTTTGTATGTCTAAATTTAAATGCTCAAAACATGAATATATGTATATATGTTATTAAATTATATTTCTTATACTTTATTTATAATACATTTAATTCCTACTTATTTTTAAAAAACATAATACCTACTTACCAAATATTAATTTGGCCACTTTTGATTTTAAAAATTCTCCTTTTTCTTCATGCGCAAACAATTAAATTTCATTGCACGTTCATTTGAAATCTGCGGGGTCAGAGCTTGTTTTGCAAACTCATAACTGCTGCCGCCGCCTGATCTTGCTATCTCATTGACCTAGCAAAATCATAATAAACAGGGCATGATGTTGGTAGACTACACAACAATCTTACACAAATCTTATGTTATATATTACCATAAAGCTTTACTTAAATGAATTATTAGTTCCTCAGTAATAATAATACCACAAAAAAAATAACTGAAATGAAAACACTGAAAGCAGTAAACTCAACCCACAAAATACTCAAAATAGACGCCAAGTAGCCGTAAAGCGTATACCGCCAACAAAAACAAGGCTGAACAGATGGCGGACGATGAGACAAAGGAAAAGTAGTTGCGTCATTGGTTGCAGCCGAACATTGTTGTCAAATAGGATATTATAAACAAATACATATATTTTTACGTTTTTGTAATGTTTTTACTTAGATGAGTCCCCTTTTTCAATAAAAATAAGACAGAAAATACGTCTTGTTTTTATTAAAAAAGCGTTTCTTGTCTCGTTTGTGTCGAAAAATAATAAAACCAAGTTGATTTTAACGGTTTGATTCCGGTTTTTTTTTTAGGACTTGCCAACACCGACGTCGATGTAGATATGCACAAAAACGTTGTCAATAAAACGCCTCCCAAAACACGACAAGAAACTATTTTCCTTCTTAGTTGCTAAAAATTTAACTTTTTAGGTTTCATTCTGTTTTACGGTTTTTAACTTTTTTCCCTTATTTCTATTCTAATGTTCCCATTATGGCGCAAGGGGATATCCTCAGGCCATCTATTCAGAGGATATCTGTGGTATATCGTGTACAGTAAATCCGCAAGCTATCCATTCAGAGTATGTATTTTACCAGTATATCGTTAGTATATATGCTAACGTATATCCTCCACATGTCCCGGGTCATGCGACTTAAATGGGACATTGACCGGATATACTGGGGTTATGGTGTGCTATCTGGGAAGGCGCGGTCACACGCATTGCTACTTTGCTTGCTGCTAAACTAATTTTAAATATATAAGGGGCGGGCACCAGAAACATAGTGCTTTTACAACCGACCCCGTGATTAACTTTAAGTACTGTTTATTACTCCAAAAACGCAGCCCCCTATACCCTGTAGAGCAGATCCTTGACCATCGTAGGTATTTATCTACCTGCACGAACAAGCGGGATATAAGAATGTTTTCGATCTTTCTCGATTAGCAATTGGTACAAAGTAACAATTTCTAACGTTCTAATTCAAGAAGAAGAATGTTCTTAATAGACAGGCACACAAGACAAAAATTATTATTTTCTTACTTACCTATAAGATAAATAGAGTACCTTTTGAACTATCCACTGAAACCAGCCTCGCAAATTCTCCGTAATATATACGAACATATTGCAATTTAGATTAAACTCTTAGGAGCGATACATATCACCTGATATGAAAATTTAAAACGGTCCATTTACGATTCAAATAAAAATTTCTACAAACATTCGTTACGGTCTTAATGCAGAATAAACATCTTTCGGGATGAGTTTTTTCACGGTCCTGCGAAGGTGGGGTTAAGGTACTGTAAAATCCTTAAAACGTCAAAACGTCAAAGCAATAAATGCACTATATTTTTGGTAGGACAATACCAGGCTTTCAGTAGTCACGCCCATTGGCCAATCCGAACATTGAGCTGTGTGCCACTTTTTTTTTGTTTTGGCTTAACAGCAAAAAAAAATATTACATTATGATATTCTGGGACTTAAGGTTATTCAATATTGCCCTTCATTGAAGAATATCTTCAAGGTAACACCGAAAGTCGCCATTAACATCGTTATTCTGTATATTATTTTATTTTTGGGTTTCTGAGGAAAGGTTATGAGTTTCATTAGGTTTCCTACTTATATTCAGCTGTTTCTCAAACATCTTGATTTTTTGACAATTTTTACAGGTTTAACAGTTGGTCTTCCATTTTTGATTGGTAATATTTGCATGTGTGATAAACTAAAGCAGGAGAGTAAAACTACTGAAATACCCATTGGCAATTGATTTAAGACAGTCGATTTGTTTATTTTCAAAAAAAGTTAATTTTTTCAGAATATACACCTTGTATATTTTGCATTTTATAATAATAATTATTACGATAAACAACGGAATTTAATGAAAACGCATAAAATATAACAAAACAAACGCATAACAGCAATGATTAAGAATTAATTATTGGTATAACAGAAATAAGTAAACAAATTAATAATTACAAAAATTGTATTTGCGCCCGCCATTTTGGTTAACGCATGCAATTTTAAAAGGCATGTTTAGATTAATTGTAAACTTCATCCAGATATTTACAAAACACTGAGTACATTTCTCTCATAAACAAATAAATACACAACAACTTGAAGTGAGGCCCCCTTGCTGGAATTCCTTGTTGTTGCTGTCATAAATCGATGTCTTAAATCATTGAAATGCAAAAATCTATCATGAATAACCGTTGTGCCCATTGTGCATCAGTTATAGCCAAAGGTGAAAAGACGTTCAATATTGTCCCCCATTCTCCTACCTATAATCTCCTGCCTACAACTCGCTAACTCATTCCGTCATAAATTAATGCTGTTGTCATCACATATTTATCCTCAAGATGAAGTTTTTGTTTGACGCTCCATATTAAGTCATATACAAAAATATAACAGACCAAGCTTAAATGACAGCTGACATATATAATGACAGACTGCAAAACAATTCTAAATTTTAAAAATCTTCTGGATTCCTCCTGCATCAATATATGAAACTTGCGGATGTTTCGCCAATCATCCTGTTGACTATATTGTTTTTTGGGGGGTGGGGGGACCTAAATAAGGGGCATGAACATTATCTTGGATAATTGTATTCGGCAACTGCTGATGAGTTTATTTGTCGTAGTCTTGAGGCTCTTTTATGTTCTTTGAGCCTAGTTGATATTTTTCGCCCGGTCTATCCGGTGTGTTCTTTGCCGCATGTGACCTAATGTAAGATCTAATTACCTATTTATAAGAAAAAATTAAGAATGGGAGATAATTGTTAGTTTCTAAATCAGTTATAGAGTTTACAGTAATAGAGTTGAACTGGCTAAAAAAATCTTCGTTTGACCCTTAGGCTAAATAAAGAAACCATCAGAGGTTTACGGCATTCCATGAGCGGCAAAGAATGCATTGATGAACAATATTTGATACGGTCAAAAGAGCTTTGAAACTACTAGAAACAGTCAGCAGTTGCCGAACACAATCAGGAAACCGGACATCAAATTTGAAATTCTTACATGTAATCAATTCTTCTACCAACGAAAAAATTAGAAATCTATGAGCTACAAAACAATATGTTCATGTCCCTCCTTTAGCTCCACCCCCCTCAGACAATACGTAAGCCGGTATAGAGTAGAATACGAGCCAGTCTCAGTTAAGCTCTGAAGATGCCAACAGGATGACATCAAGCTTGATTTATAAACAACCCACGCAAGACGAATCCAGAACATTTGTAAGTAGGACACTTTTTGTAATGTTGCAAACTTATTCGTTTGTCACTTAATGCCATATTTCATTTAATAACTAAGATAAAAACTTGAATAAAGGAAAAAAGTGACTTCCAGACAGACACATAACAGTGTTGACAAGAATTCTCATAGAATCTGACAAGTATTGTATATGGAAGTCGCCTTTCCTTAAACACGCTACAACTGAAAAAAATGTTTTTCGTAACATTATTGTTCAAGATTTAACCTGTAATTACAAAAAACATATCCAAATTGAGTCATCAGTTTGCGGGAAAACTATGAAATTGATACAAATTTAAGTGGTGCGATAATTTCGATACGAAACTATTTTGTGGAGTTTAACTCATCTCTAAATTAAATTTTGGAAGTAAGATTATGCATATTATTTTAATTTATTCTTATTTAAAATTGTATTATTTTTCTGTTAATCGGAAATATACTTTTTTTTAAATAAATAAAAATAATAAAAAAAAATAAATAAATAAAATAAAAATAAATAAAAAAAAATCATTTTGTGTTAGACCTCATCGATAAGTAAGCCAACCATAAACAATCACATAGCCTTAGCAATTTAATACAAAAACTTAAAATTTTAAAGAAATATTCTTACAGGTGCCTACCAGCCAACCTACAAGACTCTTCAGCTTCATGAATCCCTTAGCCTTCGAAATATGGATCTACGTTTTAGCCGCGTACATGCTGGTCTCTTTTACGCTTTTCGTAATGGCCAGATTCTCCCCTTACGAGTGGAACAATCCCCATCCGTGTCACCAGGACTCCGATATCGTTGAAAATCAGTTTTCCGTTTCGAATAGTTTCTGGTTTATAACCGGCACATTCCTGAGGCAGGGTTCCGGACTAAACCCGAAGGTTTGGGCAACGCGATAAATGTTTTTTGCATGATTAGAATGTTTTTGCATGGATTTTGTGGTTGTATGAAACCGGCAAATAATACTGACGTCCGTGTGCAAGTTAATGCCGAATCAATGCCCAATATTCCTTCAATATTTGGCAGTTGATGGAGTTTTTTTATAATTTCTGGTAATTTAAGAAAAACAACTCTTTTGTCCTGTTAAAAGACAATTTATTTGCTAAGTAAAATCTATGGATATGGTAAAGCGTCATTATCTTTAGGCGAGAGTTCTTTCTAAACAAATTCCATTTTCAAGTTTTAATTACATTGCTCACTTTGTAAAAGTTAACTGCAAACAGTCTATTTTATAACAAATGGGGTTTATAATTATAGTAGGTGTGACATATTCCAAACGAATGGATACCAATACCATGTGAACAAAAGCCAAGTTGGAGGAAATATTCTCAAATATACTTTCACACATATCAAATTATACCTTCATGTCCCTATTATTTACAAACTTACTGGATTCCTGCTGCGTCGGTTGTTTCTAAATCAATTTGATTGAGGCTTCTTCAGAGCTTAACTGAAACTGGCTCACATTCTATGCTGTATCTACTTATTTATTGTTTAAGAAGGACGGAAAGGAGGATGACTGATTCCCTCGGTCTTTCATGTTTTTTGACCATAGTTGATATTTTTCGTCCTGGCTCTGAAATGTATTCTTTGCCGCATATGTGGGTTATTAAGAACTTTTGATATGTGGTCAGTGATGTTTTGAATGTAAAGAAGGACAACAGTGTGGAGTTGGCTTCATACTCATTGTCTTTGGAAGGTTGTGGTGGAACGCTTAGTATCTCTAATGTATAAATGATTAGACAGAAGAGCAGATGCTGAAAACACTTCGAACACCAGGATTCCAGTCGGAGTTCAACAAGCGGACGGATAATATCCCGGAATATAGTGTCATCATATATATATATATATATATATATATATATATATATATATATATATATATATATATATATATATATATATATATATATATATATATATATATATATATATATATATATATATATATATATATATATATATATATATATATATATATATATATATATATATATATATATATATATATATATATATATATATATATATATATATATATATATATATATATATATATATATATATATATATATATATATATATATATATATATATATATATATATATATATTCATACCTAACATTGGGTTATTCTGTTTACGACAAACCCACGCACACAGACTGATGATGCATTGTCACATCACCATCCGTCCCAAAAATGATCTATAATTAACTCTCTTGTTTCCATTGTGAATGTGAATGTGAGCCAGTTTCAGCCAAGCTGTGAAGAAGCCAACAGGATGATTGGCGAAACGTCAGCAAATTTGACTTGTAAACAACCCATTCAGGAGGAATGCAAAAGTTTTGTAAAAGTAGATAGTAGACTTTGAAACTTCCTTAAAAACATTGTGGTATTTATCTATAGTGGTATTTATCTATAGCTTCTTTTGAAGGGCTGCGCATTAGGAAAGAAATTAAAAGTATCACAGAAAACATTACGTTTCCGTTCAAACCGGAAGTCAATTCAATCACTGGATAAAGATAACCACGACCTTAATCGAAGCGTTCCAAGGTAATACTCAAAAAGGTCATATTTTTGAGTTTTGAGGTAGGTAATTTTTGAGGCTGGATTCGGTGTTTCCGACCCAAATAACCCCTATACACCAATTTCGAACTGGTTCGACCGGTAAACCTCGAAGATAGCAAACTTTTTGAGTTTTGAGGAGGCACTCTAAAAAAAAACTCCATAGACGGGTATGGGACATCGAGGTTCAGAATGATGCATGTGTATAGGCGCGTCGACGTAGGGACTCAGTTTTTCGATCCGTCCCATAGGAGACAGGATCCTCCCTAACCTCAAAACTCCTTTTTACGGGCCCCCGAACGCAAGGGTTATACTCGCGCCCCGATCGGACCTCAAATAACTCCCGAAATCTCGAAATACCGAAAAATGACTACTTCCTCAAAAGCGATTTTTTGAGGTCCCTTCATCCTCAAGAATTTTTTCATAGTGAAAACCCACTTTCATTGTGCACCGCTTATTTTCTTTCTTTTTTTTTTAATTGAATATTCCCAATATTCAGACACAGTGTATCTCCAATAAAAACAGAGATAATATAATGATTAAAAAAACAAAATGCTCCAATGTGCTTCGAGCTGACAACAGCTACAATTTTCGTTAAAAAGACTTCGTCTCATTGTTGCAACTCTTATACGCTCAGATTGAAATCTGATTTAAAAAAATACGTAAAATGGTGACTGATTAATCAATCTACAATTAAAAAAAAACATAAAAACGGAACAAGCGGTTTAGGAGGGAACCAAATTTGAATTGCGACCCGTTTATTGTTGAGCGTAAATGTAGCTGTAAAATTGCAGATTGAGTCTATATTAAGCCTTCCAAATTTGAAATCCACTTTCCCATTTTCTTGTGTCACCTGGTATAACAACAAAAATATATCTACAACGCTAAAGGGGAGCTGTATACTTCAATTAAATAGTAAATACATTTTACATTGTAATTGTAAAGAATTTTTTTCCAAGCTTTCGCAAAATGGAACCCCCTTTGCGTTGATTCAGCTTTCAATTTTCGGTCAACCCTTTTAAAAGCGGACGCATCTTAAAACGAAAAATAAATATTCCGTTAAAGTTTTCTAACAGCGCAGCGATAGGAAAAAACTTCGGTCATCAGAAATGTATCTTTTGGATACACGCCAACTATTGATGCTTTATATTGTATTTTGAAGGCGCCATGCGTCCTGAATTTTTATCGGGTCGGAATGTCGCCTTTTTAACAGAATAAGGCTTTGCTATACACTTAAAATGCTCCTCATTGATTTTACACAAAAATGTCTGCCTTACTTTTCATATTTTGTAATTCATTTATGGGCAACCTTTGACATGTTGTGGGCCAAACTTTAATACGCAAATATTTAACTATTGACATAGGACATGAAATATTACGCGATTATTATTATAATACAATTTATTAAAATGAATCTAAAAAAATAGGCACAAAATTCTAATTAAACCGTCAGCTTTTGAATTTTTACAAAGCCAGGAAAGTTAAATACCGACACCGAAATCAATGAGACGCTTAATGTTCAATTTGGGAAACAAATCCATTGATGTTACGATTAATTCCACTGCACGATGTTTTGATTTATTAACTTTCGCCATTGAAAAGAACTGTTAGCACTTATGAGTAGTATTTAACGCACAATCAATCTTATTGTGAATTATCTAGGATGCGGACAATGATCTTAGAGGTATTTTCTGTAGAAATCGCACAACTCCACGTCTTGAAATTAAAATGTATGTGGATTTTATTCGGAAACTCGGTCAAATGGCTTTACATATTATTTTCTAACTATCCTTTTTTTTGAAGTTTCAAACTTAAATCATTCAAATAATCTGTAAGGTCGACAGAAAGTTCCATATACATTTTGAGTTACTTTATTTATCTTTTATTTGCATTGTATCCGCCTTCTCATTTCCTAGCCCGTAAAACCATTTCAGCATTTTACTCTTGCTGACTCATCTGACTTCACAATAAAATGTTACGAGACGTTATATTTGGCTGATATTTGACCCAAAAACATCTTGAAATGGTTAAGCTCGAATACAATTTATGGATTTCACTACCACTATTGAACAGGAGGAATGGACTTAATTCACAAGTTCAGTTGGTGGAAAATACCATGAAGGACTATGAGACCATCTTTTTGCAATCAGTTGATTTTGCAATAAAAAATCGCATGAAACCCTTAGCCGACTATAGAAGTATATATAGTGTTCTAGTAAAAATAAGCTTTTCCGCCATTTATTGTACTGACATCTTCATTAAACCTGCAGACATGAACTTAAAACCTCACTGTTGGACAAATGGTTGGTTTTTCTTCTTGATTTCAAGCAGATATCAGTCAAAATCAGCTTTTTGGCATCTTACTGCACCGAACACTCCATTAAACCTACAGGTATCAACTTAAAAGCTCACTTTTTTTGGTCAATAATAGCTTTTTCTTATTGATTTATAGAAGAATCCAGTCAAACTCGACTTTTCGGAGATATTTCGTAACTAAAACGGCATCAAAATTGCAGATATCAGCCTAAAGCCTTATTTTCTGTTCAAATAGTTGCGTTCCCTTTTCGATTTCGATTAAATGAGACGCACAATCTACTTTTTTGCAGCTTAAACTTGAAATGTGAACTTAAAACACCTATTTCTGGGAGAAATGCTTGTTTTTCTTTATTTCAAACAGATGACGAGCAAAATGGTCTTTGGGTTCAATGTTGTTGCAAAAACGGAATAAAACTTGCGGATAACAACCTGAAACCACATCGTGGATCAAATAGTTGCCTTTTCTTGTTGATGTTGATTAAATTCTAGTAAAAATCGACTTATATTAAACCTGCAGATCTCAGCTTAAAACGCCTCTTTCAGGGACAAATGGTTGGGTTTTCTTGTTGATTTCGAACAGACTCCAATCAGAAACGGCTTTTTGGCACTTATTGTACCGAAATCAGATAAGAACTTAAAGCCCTCTTCTGGCGACAAACGATTGGTCTTTCTTCTTGATTTCGATCAAAAGACAGGCGAAAACGGCTTTTCTGCCCCATACGGAAACAGCATCAGCATCAGCACATAACAACTTAAGTAAAGCCTCACATTCTGGTTCAAATAGTCATTTCTTGTCAATTGTTACGAAAACATGAACAAATCTACAGATGTCCATTTAAAAAACCTCTTGGACCAATAGGAAGTTTTTCTTCTTGATTTCAAACTAACCGAAACAAAATTCTTTCATTTTTCTTTAGATTCGCGACCTTTTATATGTACTTTTCGTATCATTTTCGTTTAATTTTTGTTCAATAGCAAAAATATAATTAGTAAGCACTCATAGAAATCAGACAAAGTCACAAAGCAAATCTATTTATTCTTATTATCCATTTATTTACAATCTCGACTCATTTCCCTATAAACTTCCACTACTCTTCTATTTACTTGTTTAACTCTTTCGACCAGCTTTCTTTACCATTCTCTGTCTCTTGCACTGTTCATCAATCTGGTTTTTCAGATCATCAGCCCATTTCTACTTCAATCAATTTTTCAGTTTTAAAATTTATAATACTATTGTTTCATCTCTCCTCTTTTTATCTCGTGTTATGACCGCCAAATTATCATGTTAATTTCGCATTCGTCGCTATTCCTTTCTATCACATATATCTAACCTAACACTGATGAATTTAATCCAATAGAATTTAAAATTTTTATTATACCCAGATCTGAAATGAATTTGTGCCCTCTCCAAGTATAAATTAATTAGCTGCTTTGTGTCGAGACTGCAGATTAACTTTTACGCAATAAATCTTTCCACCAGACAAACTACAGGCAATCTTTTATTCGTCGGACCGGATCTGCATATGTTAACAGGTATATATTTGAGGCTTTTAAATTTGTATTTGCTTTTCAATTCTGCACCTGTATTTTAGGAACTTCATTTGTTGATTTTATATCGTTAACTTCGACTGTATGTACGCTGAACTATTTTGAAAAATAATAAAACCTTAACGGTAGTTATTTACCTCAAAACAAGGAGAGTTTCGAAAACAGATCAGATATTCATTCATATCAGACGAAATATATTGCACATTATCATTTAATAAACTCATATAAAGTCGAACTACGCATTGAGAATACCTTTACTGCAAATTAAATGCTGAACCCAAAACGTTCATAAAAAATAGCGTTTTCTCATTACTTATTGGAATTTGTCATCAATTTTACAATGACTTACTTGAATCACTGTTAGTGAATGAATATATTTTTTTCTGGATCTTCTCTATTTTAAATCATTTCTCTTAATTCTCTCGCATTATGTATATCCCCATTTTAAGACCGTCCTAGTTTTTTAGCTTAAAATTTATTAGTTTCAAATAAGTAAGCCCGACCACCGAGTCTGCTAAGAGGCTTTTTAAATTCCTAGTAAAATTTAGATTTATAATCAAAATAAGCTTAGCACTTTACCTGAGAGCGGTAGATGAATGTGAAAGTTTTAAGCACCAAACATTAACATTGAAAAATGTATTTCTATATTACGAAATTTTAGATATTTCCATTATGCCTCTGATTAAATCTTTTTTCCGGAGATACTCACGTTACTTATTATTTGGGCAGCAAAATTCACCCCTAGTTTTGCTGAAATTGGCGGGCCTGAAACATTAATGGCTTACTATATTTTCATAAAAGATTTTGGTCGAATACAAACATATCTGGATTCATGGTCCAGCTTGTCGGGTTAAAGAAAGAAATCTCAAAAGAATGCAATTTTTGGTCAACAAATCATTTTAGTTATTGTATTGTTTTAGATGTACCCTGTGTTGATAAAACAGGTAGAACAGAAATCAGAATTTGATATACTGCAGCAACATTTTGTTTCTCCACAGAGTGGACTCCTGTTTTTTTCTGAAAATTTTATGAGATCGGGGCATGTTTTAAAAAAATAATGCCAGTCAAATGCCACATTCAAACTGAGAACAGTCGAATTGACGAAGTGTCAGTGACCATGGTTGAAAGCGAGAATTGAAATGACTGACGTATTGATTGTCCTTGGTGTATCTAAGAAAACAAAAAAAAACAAAAATTTTTAAATTTGAACAAATATTGCAGGACTTTCATACTGAATTTTGCTAGAATTGTTACAATGTAAGCTCATTCTAATTAATATTTATAGACCAGGGAGCCTCGGGGGCACTCCGTTTATGGAGAAGGTTAAACTGCTTTTTACATATCTCTAATTCCCAAAAAGGTTATTATTGTTACCGATGATTTGGATATTAAATTTGGAAAATACAATGTGGAATTTGTCAAGTTCGTTTCCACTTTTGGTGTATTTCCTACTACTGAAAACTGTACGCGTAAAACCCATTTTCTACGGTCATTGTAGATTACGGTTTAACAAATCTTGTGACTGTGCTTATTTTGTTGAATATAGACTCCGTTTTTACGCAAGTTTCAGGTCAATCCCTGCCAGCTAACCAACCTTGGATTCGCATTTTTTTTCCAAAATAGAACCACAAATTGAGTCGGTCTTCTAAGGTCATCAATAATTCTATTAAACATATAATATATCTATTAGAGACTCAGGTCATCTCTTCTCTAAGTATATCCTCCTTTTTAAATTGGGTTTCTAATATGGAAATAATTAAAATCGCTTTGGCATGAACGCTAGTCTAATGAAGCACACTTGAAGCTTCCTGATAGCAAAAGGAATCCCGATTCATAAAAATGGTGACACAAATAACATTAACAATTCCTATTGCTAATGAATTGAAGAAAACAACTGAGAAGGCTCTTTAAAAGCGTTTGTACCAATATTTTGTTATTATTAACTCGCAGTTTCAGTGACGGATGTGCAACTCCCGCCATTTTATGCGATGTCACGGAGGACTTCGGGCTATGGATGTTTTAAACTCCTGAGGACTAACCTAGTTGACCGTTTTCAATGTATAGTATTTAATGGCAGAACAGAGAGTGTGCTGCCAGTGCGGCATGGTGTTCTTTGCATAAACAAGCTTCCTATTTCTAAGCCAGATGCTCACCCGAATGATACTAGATAAAGTTAAAGTGACCGCGAGTGCTGGTGCAGAAGTCGTTTTCTTCTAACATCCAAGTTATAAACAATAAAAAAACTCTAAAATTGACCTTACCATGCTGCAAGAGATCATTCCAATGGACTTATTATTGATGGTACATTTTCCTGGACTGATGAACTTTTGCTGTTATCCAGCAGCTTGATTTGTTAAGAAGTTACGAATATTTAATTATCTTCATAGCGTGTCCCACTGCTTTGGGGTGGAGTAGAGTATTCACAGAAAGCTATTCGAACTCAAAGAAAGGCGATTTGGGTATTTAGAGAGAAGATAATTTACATGAATACGTCAAAAATGCTGATCTGCATGTCTATACTACCAGGCGATCAGAAGCTATCGCTCTGCCCTTTTGTTTGTCTTATTATCTGCTGAATTAATAGTTAACTTGTTAATAAGTTTCTTTCTTTGCTTACTGTTACATATATTCCTTATTATATTATGTTATTATACTCCTTTGAATACGTCTATTTAGTAAGATACTTTCTGGGTTTTGACAACCTGAGAAAATCCTCTCATCGTATTCGCTTTATCTCAAATTTTACTTACTGCCCGCTCCCTCACCGAAAACGCGGTAATAAATAAATGCGTAGCAGCTAAAAGCTTTCTGCGGCTCCACGGTGGCGTTTATTTCAAATAATAGCGACACCAAGTAAAAAAAAAATGGCGCAAGCTTTCCCACACCAACGTATTCGTTTTATTTCCGAAGGTGTACCAAAGACCACCCGGACGGCTATTTTCTTTCCTCACCCCGCTAGCCTTCGAAATATGGGTGTACATGATGGGCGCGTATATCATAGTCTCCATAACGATGTGGATAGTTGCGAGGTTCACGCCGCTAGAGTGGAAAGAGATGGAGCTGTGCGACGATTGTCTCTTGAAGAAGCACCTGGAAACCTATGGCGAAGACGCTTTTTGCGATCACTCGTTATACGATAGCGACGACTCTTCTGGTATCGGTAGCGGCAATGGACACGATGATCGCGAATATTCAGGTGCTCTTATCCGGCTTCTAAGATTCTATAGGTGGTGCTAATGTTGTTTGTGTAGACATAGACGAGGAGATACGTACCGTCCGCGAAGAGCAAATGACGTTCCTCAAACCCGAAGTGAGACACTCTATAATTAGCGGACAGCTGGTGCTAGACGTGCTGGAAAATGATTTTACTCTGGGGAACAGCTTCTGGTTCGCAATAGGCAGCCTCATGCAACAAGGATCCGATCTCAATCCGAAGGTACCCGTATATACCCGCTAGAAAACGCTTGAGTTACGCCTATGGATTCGCTAAGCGGCAGTTTAGCGTCACCCCTCGAAATGAATAGCAGTTGATGTAAACTCGATGTCGCGAATACATTCTAAGTGTCCTTGTCAATTCGCGATTTAAAAGTCGTCGGTTACGAGAGATCCAGACGCATCGGTGGGCTTTTGATAGATGGAATAGTTCCTCATCACCGGATTTCGTTGCCTATTGAAGTGTAGACTCGTCGGACAGGTGTGGATTACTACAATTTAGTAGCAGCGGAGGATGTCGGATTATTCTAATACGCGCCTCAGCGCGGAAGCTTAATTTAGAAATAGAGTTTCTGACGATGATTGGATAATAAATAATGCAGAATCACGTGACAGGTTTCCATGACGAAAGGAAATATTCAGTAGCAGTTTAAGGTGAAGCAGATTAATATTAAACTTGAAATAATGGTTACGAGATGTTTCAAGGAGCACTTATTCTTGAGTACCTATTAACTAGAAGCCCTAATTATTTCGTGCGCTCAAAAATTAACGAGATATAACAGTATATTGCAAAATTGTACAGGGTGAATGTAGTTGAAGGGACTAAGGACATGAGGAGGCTTACTTTAGTTTAAAATTTGGATCATTCTAACCAAAGCGTCTCCTCTCTTGCAGTGATAAAGGGATCTGTTGTTCTTGCTGGGTCTATAATCAGAATTTATAATCACAATTCGTATATTTCTTGACCATTTTCTACTCTCCAATAGATACGCTAACTTCATTCATGTCCTTAAAACCTGGCAAACGCATGATGTTTCTCAATTCCCACCTATTAGCATTCTCCCTCCTATATCTAAAGTGTTAGAAAAGTTGTTGAGAATATTCCATATTCTACCTCCAACGCTTTATGGCAGATTATGGTACAAATGCAGCTCTTCTTAAAGTTTGTGACGATATATTTCGAGCAGATGGTGTAGGCCGAATATTTGCTTAATATTGCTTGATTATAGCAAGGCATTCGACACTCTGGACCACCGCCTTTTCTAAACTGATATACTTTGGTGTGGGGACTGGTGTGTCGCAGTTTTCCAAAAGTTATTTTCCGATCGGTATCAAAGAGTATTCTTAAATAACAGCTATTTCTATTATGTAAATATTGGCAAGAATGTGGCACAGAGTAGTATTTTAGGTCTGATGCTGTTTTCCATTTGTACCTCAGACATCTGTAGATTTATTGAGCATTGTTCCTTTCATCATTACGCAGACGACACTCAAGTATATCTATTAATCTTTTAATTACTCAAATTATTGCCGCCGTTAATAATATAAACAGTGACCTACGTGCTCTCGGTGCTATTTCTAGTAGGCATGGTCTATTACTTTTACTATTACTTTCGGTAAAGATAAAGGAAAAATAATTAATCTAGACGCTGCCAGAAGTTACTTAAATGATCTTCTGTTACAGCCGGTTGCCGAATGCAAAAATCTGGATCTGCATTTGGATAATAATCTGCGCTAGATTGAAAAATATTTTTGACAATGTCAATGAATTTCTTATAAAAATATTAATTGAAAGCCCTCTTTAACTTTTTAATATCTCAAGATACTATTCAAAACACAAGGTACCCTCAAAACCGCTTTTATCTTGTGTCTGTAACTTGCAAAACTATGTAAAAAATCTAAATATTAATATAAGTAGTTCAATATTGAGTATAGAGGACAACGAATAAGGTTAGATACCTATTTCACTTTTCATATTTGCTCTTTGGGGGAGTAGAAATATCTTTTAAAATTTGGTGAATTTGATGTTAGATTTTCCTTCTAAATCTCCTAGATAGAACGTAGAACAAAAAATTAGTCATTTTTTAAAACCTACAACATCTTTTATTTTTATTTTCGCGCATGCAAAATGAATAAAAGGAAATATTGAACAATTTAATGTGCTCAATTTATGCAACTAAGCAATACTTATTGAAACGCCTGTTTCAAAATAGAGACGACTGGTTTTATACGGTAATAGCTAAATGATTTAATAAATTTATAAATCTCACAATATAGTTATAAACAGCAGCTAAACGGGATGACGCTGCCCTAAATGTTTACCGCAAAATTTATTTAACCTTCATCATGAAATATTTAGGTCAAATATTTAATTAATTGTTTAATCTGCTTGGCTCGATATAAGCAAATATTACGCATTTCCACAGTACGATATACAGGGTTAGTCAAAAGTCGTTCATCGGCGATATAACTCAGAAATTATTTTACTTCAATTTATGAAATGTAGTATACAGGGTTGTATAGAATCGTGATATTTTCACATATATAACAAAATAACATACCAAAGTTTTTTTATAGGGTATGGCTTTAAAATAAAAGTATTTTTCATGTAACATACCCCATAACAATAAACAATAAATTCAGGCGTTTTTGCACGACTAACAAAAATCTAAAATAACTGATGATTTAATCAATACACTAGATTTTAATTTATGAATGACATAATTAATGGTTTTAACTAATTGGTATACTTGGCTACCAATCATCTGCATCTAACATTAAGAAAACGGTAGCCCGTGATTTCGATTTTTTTTTTGCAGTCAAATTAAAGTATTAATGGTGGTCAGTTACGGTGGTAGGAACTGTTCCAATACCCACAAGTTTGTGAATGACACCAGAATAATAAAAACAGCACGATGTCTAAATTTAATGGTTGTTACAAACTTGGTTACTAACTCCACTCTTTTCTTTTCCGTGTCCAGGATCACCATTATGAATAAAGTATTATTCTAAATATTTCGCTCCCAAAATTTGGCCACCTGAAGGGCCTTGTCGTTGCATTTGAGGAGGTCGTCATGAGAGCAATTTGTGCCAAGCAACGCACTGCAACAGATGATTGTAGTTCTGTTCCAAGCCGCAGTCACAGGTAGCATTGTCCTGAATGTATCCCCAGCGTAGCAGGTTTGTTTTGCATCTTGTGACTCCTGTGCGTAGCCGATTTAAAGACTTCCAGGTTGCGAAGGGGAGTTCGTCGCCACAGCTTATACTTTCTTTCAGATCTAAGAGCGGATTTTGCACTTTCTCCTGCCATAGATTTAACCTTCGTTGTTCAGGTGTGGTAGTGAGAGGTACTGTTGAATGGATAAAACTCCTCCTTGACTTGAGCCTTGCTGCTACTGGCTGGTGGTGGAACAGAGGATGCCTTGGGTCACTGATTTGCTTTTTCCGTTCTATTTCTGCCGCCACAGTTCTTCGGATGGGTGGCGGCGCTATTCCTATAATTGGGAAAATCTTTTCAGCAGGCGTAGGTTTGAGGCAGCCTGAAATTATTCTCCCAGTCTCATTAACTGCAGTGTCAACATGCCTGGAATGTACAGAATTTGCCCAAACTGGGGCAGCGTATTCTGCTGTGGAGAGGCAGAGTGCAGCAGCTGAGGTTCGCAGGACACCAGGTTTAGCCCCCCATCTTGTACTTGTCAATTTGCGTATAATGTTGTTTCTAGCAGCCACCTTCATCTTCGTATCCTGGCAGTGTGCTCTGTATGACAGCGTTCGATCCAGTTTGACACCAAGGTACTTAGGCCAGTCACAGTGCTCAAGTTCTTGTTGCATCCAATTTATTTTCAATTTCCTGTTGGCTTCTTTATTTCGAAGATGGAAAGCGCACACCTGAGTCTTAGATGGATTGGGTTTAAGGTTATTCTGTTCATAATACAAACCAAGGTTTCCAAGGTACTGGTTAAGCTCTTCCTCCACCTCCCCAAAGGTTTTCCCCTGTACAGCCACCGCTGTGTCATCAGCATATATGAAACGTCTCACCTTGGAACTATTTGGCTGATCATTCGTGTAAATGTTATATAATAAGGGTGCAAGAACGCTTCCCTGTGCCAAGCCGTTCTTCTGTTGTCTCCATCGGCTATTTTTCCCCTGCAACGTTACATAGAATCTTCTATTCTGGAGAGTGCATTCGATAAACTTTGTGAGCCTGTAATCTTTAGTGAGATTATATATTTTGTGCGTCAATTTTCTATGATTGATGGTATCATAAGCTGCACTTAAATCAATGAATGCCACTCCTGTCACCTGGCCCCTCTCATACCAATCCTCTATGTGCTGTGTCAGGTTGAGGATTTGCCCACAGCATGATCTGCCAGGTCTAAAGCCAGCCTGCTCCGCGATCAAGGACTGATCGATTTTCTCAGAGATCCTGTTGAATATCATCCTCTCCATGCACTTGAAAAGATGACATAGTAGAGAGACAGGCCTATAGTTTTTGCAGTTGTTTGGCTCTTTCCCAGGTTTCAGGAGTGCTATCACTCGTGCTCTCCTCCACTCTTTGGGAATTTGCATAGTGTCGACACAGTTATTGATAAGATTGAGCAGCCATGTTCTTGTCTTTGGTCCAAACTGTTTGATTTGCTCAGTTCTTAGGTCATCAACACCTGCTGCCTTATGCTCCTTCATCTGTTTGATAGCCCCTTGTAGCTCTTGCGATGTGAATGGCGTATCTAAGGAGTGGTTTTCACTCTCCAGCTCTCGTTCAATCTCTATTCTCCTGTTTTTCCCTGCAGTTTTGCCATTTAGGAGGAGCTGGTGGGCAATCTGATTGGCTGTGACATCACCCATGCTTGATTTCTTTGTTGTTGGATCATTGCTTAGATTCTTTAGCAGCTTCCAGGCTCGACGACTGTTCCTCTTCATATCCAACTGTTCAAGGAGGTTACACCATCTTTCCTTTCTAGATTCTGCTATGAGAGACAGTAGCTGTTCGCCAGTGCTTACAGTCTCATCTGAGAAGGGGTCCTCATCGAATAGTTTTTCATAGCTATTGAGGGCAGCTAGAGAGTCATGATCGAGGCCAGCAATATAGTTTACTTGACACCCTCTTGGAATGTGTTTCCTGAATATTTGCTTTACAATATTCACAAAAGCTCCATAAGATCTAGGTATTGGTTCTAACTTTGTGATCTCTCTGTCCAAATCTTGAGCAAACATGTCCCATTTTGCTTTTTTGAAGTTAAACCTTCGTTTGAATGGGACAGTTTCTGCTTTTATAACAGCCTCTATACTGCAAGTTATTGCTCTATGCTGTGTTCTGGGAAGAGGATTTTCGACATATTTGACAGCTTGTTGTGCTATTGCCTCAGTTACAAAGAGGTTGTCTGGGTTGTAGCCCTGTCTCCATCTAGCACTGTTGAAGGAGGGTGGAAGTTTGGGATCATGAATTAGCCTCAGATCATTCTGCTCT